AAAATATATCCCCCCCCCCCCCGGTGTGTCTATGTATAAAGCAGTTCTGGGCACAAAGTTATGTGTAAACCCTTTCCCATTCTCCTCCAGCCCTCCGTACCGTTTTGTTACACTTGACATTGCATCCTGCTCAGTATTGCAAGCTGCTTGTGGGTAGGGGCCTTGTCTCCTTGTTCGCTCTCCAAGTCACCTGTGCACATGTAAGAAGAATGAGTCATAAAGGAGCTGGTATGGATGCTTGCTTGGTTTCCTTCTTAATGACAAACAAACTGTTCTGAAATGCAGATGAGCTTTTGGGGGAACCTGCACACCCTGAGCCTTGGCCTTTTCCTCTGCTGGGGTCCCACCTTCTTGGCAGAGCTCGTGTAGCTTCTCTTGTGCTGATGTGGCTGCTCCTTGGTTCAGTTGTGCTTTGTCCAAGTAGTGCTTTGCTTGAAACGATTAAGTACAGTGAGGATTACAGTAAGATGCCCTGTAGCAACTGTTTTTTAATAACATGGTGTGTGTGTCTTGCAGAAATGCTGCTCATGGATTCTCACTTATTCAGGTGGACAGTATGAAGGTCACCATGAAGGATATCTTACAAAAGGCCTTAAAGCGGAGGAAGGGCTCGCAGAGGGGCTCAGGTGGGTTACAGCGACGCTCTCTGTAAAAAGGAGCTTTTCCATAAATACCATTTTTAACTTAAACCTGTTTTAGCGACTGTCATAAAAAATGCTAATTTTTTCCAGTGGGTGTTGTGATTTTCAGTACAGTGCCAAAGCTGCTCTGCACGTACAGCAAAAGCAACCTTTTCTGTTTCAGGTGCTAGAGGAAAACTCAGACAGTGAGTGAGGAAGCTACATAATATCTGCTGCAAGCAGCATTTTAGTGACTATCAGGAATGTTTGTTTTCATGACAAAACCACTCGCCACAAAGACTAGCCAGTTACAGTCTAAAGTGAGCTAGAATCACGATCAGACACTTGCTTGCAAGACTTTGTACATTTTTAATTTGTCAGAACAAAGTATTTAGTATGATTTAAAACAGCTTTGAAAGCAAATTATACTTGGGTTGAAACATTAAAAAAAATTTGTTTTCTCCAGTGTGGTCAAGTACTGGTGCCCTTACAGATAGCTTAGATATATGGACATCAAACAAAAAGAAAATATGCAGTGCTTTTTTTAAATTTCTCCAAAAATGGTTTTTCCTGGCTCTCTCCCTCTCTCTCTCTCTCTCTCTCTGTGTGTGTGTGTGTGTG